GTAGTCTGAGATTACATGTGATGTTTTTTTTAAATTGTGTTGTTAGCATGACACAAACACATACATAATATAACTGCTGCTCTGATTGTGTTTATTTTTAAGTGCATGCCTCTCAGAATCCCTTACTCTTAGTTGTGTAGCTTTAGAGTATTTCTTCCAATGACATCCTCCAACTTGATGCAGTTGATTGTGAGGTGGTGAGAGTGAACCCATCACAGTGGTAAGCAATGGATGTATAAAACTTCACTGAAGGTTTGCAGAAGCCATTAATCTTAAAATCCTACCTCTGCTTACCAGAAGCTAGTTAGGTTCTGCTATTATTTAAAGAATTGCTGGACCCAAATGCAGTAATAGTGTTAGAAGCCTTGCGTAAGTGAACAGTACTTGTCCACTGCTTTTTTGGTGGTTTTCTAACACTTTATGTAGCCTGCCATTTTTTTTAAATGTCAGGGAATATCAAGTCTTCAAGGTGATTCATTTTTCACAATACCATTATGTGAATTAAAATACAAATCTGAATTTACTCGTGCAAAGATGTTTTGTGATTTGAAGTGGATCTTTTGATTTGGATGGTAGTGAAAAGCATTTGGAGCAACTGCTGTTTGCTTTTTCCCAAATATATAGGTAATTCTTTAAGGGACTTGGTGAATAAAATATTGCATCTTCATTATACAGTAAGATCACAATTTATATAACTTAGCATCTGTGTAGCATCTAAACTGCCTATCAGCTATGTGGCAATCAACATTTGGAGATGTCTACTAAAAGTTACCTATATTGAGAGGGTTATTTTAATAGCATTTTAAGTTAATTGTATCATATCTGCTACGTTTTATTAATCTATGATCTTACTGTTGTTGATAAATATTTAAAGTTGCAACTGATAGATAATGGCAGAAATGAGAAAGTAAATCCAATTATTAGTCTTAACTGTTTTTACCCTGTCTCTTTCAGTTTACAACAGCAGTGACCAGTGCCTTTTTATTAGCAAAAGTAATTATTTCACAGGTATATATTCTAATCAAATGTTTGTTTTACTTCATTGTTTTCTTGAAAGTAAGATTCTTCAGGGTCATTTCTTAATGTTGTGTGTTTGTGTCCTTCAAGCTGTTCTCACAGGGTGCTTTTGGCTATGTGCTGCCCATCATATCCTTCATACTTGCCTGGATTGAAACTTGGTTCTTGGACTTTAAAGTGTTACCACAAGAAGCCGAAGAAGAAAACAGTAAGCTTTTGATATTTCCCTTCAATCACTGCAGCTGGCAACATTTGATCCCATGTTATCTGGCAGAAGAATGCTTCTTTCAGCTTCTCAAAATTTGGAGAGCTGTGGGAAAAAATTAAATCATATGGCATAACTTTTCTTTTTCTGGAAAGGAACATATGCCTTCAACGAAGTGAGTTTTTAATTCTGGGACGCCAAGTTAAAAGTTACAAGGGCCAGAGATAGTAATTTGTCAAGCACTTAGGAACATAGATAATTTTCTGTGCTTAAGACATGAAAATTTACACTGACTTGCACTTCTAAAATTTTCTTTTTTGGGTAACACATAGACGAAGTTGCTGGTTCCTCTTGTAGCAAGAGCAGGCACAATAACTAACTGAATGTCACTAACTTGTCTTTTGAGGTGGAAAAGGGAAAGCAAAGAAGTATTGTGGAGAGTCTGCTTCATGCACAGATAGAATGAGACCAGAGCAAGTATGAATTTCAGCCTCTTCAAGATGGGGCGGTAGGGCATCTGAAGCTCAATGTATTCAACTAAACAGAGAAAACTCACTTATTTAGTTGAAAGAGAATATTGCTTGAGTGCTGAGGAAAAGAAAGCATAGATTTCTGCTACAGATATTTTGTTAGTTTCAACAGCAGGAGAGTAATTATACAGCGAACCTGGCTTTGTGCATCACACTCTGAAATACAGTCTGAAACTGTGTTGGAAATGCATGCTTGCCTGTTATGTAAAAACACAAACTTTACACGGGCATGGATGCCTCCATGGTTTTCAGTGCTCTGAGATGTAGTCTTTCTACTTTGTTCCCTTGTCTCCTCTTTCACAGCACTCCAAGAAAGAAATTGGTTAAATTAGTACATTGGGTTTTGCCTAGAAAAAGGGGAAATTAGGGTACCTTTTTTTTTGAGGGGGTGAGGAAATAACAGCTGCATCACACTTTTATTGAATGGATAAGAAATTTAACTATTTCAGAGACATTTTATAGACAAAGTATTTGATGCATACACATGTAAATACTTCATTATCATATTCATAAAATTGAGATATTATCAGTAAATCCCTGTGGGATTCAATGATACCTTTTTCATTCCTTGAAATAGATGGTATTTATTTAGAAGTATGTGCTTTTTATTCGAACTCTGTGTATTTCCCAAAAAGATGGTGTTTTACTGGAAAAATGCTGGTTTTAAGCAATTAAGTCAGACAAATGATAGACATGTTTGTATTGTGTTGTGTGGTGGTCCTTACATAGTGCCTTATTTGCTCTTAGATCTAGGCAGCTAATGAAGCCAGATTTTAAGTTTTTGCTTTTTGACCAGCTATTTTTCTCTCCTATCTATAGTGTGAGTGGAAACTGACTTTTTTCCCACCTTACTGTTTTGTTTTAAAACAAACAAACAAAAGACTACACCAATTTTCTGCCTAATGCAACAATGATCACAATTTGGATATGTTTTATCTGTACCTTTAAAAAAAAAAAAAAGAAAAGAAGGGCAAAACTGTCTTTCCACTGAAGAAGTTTTCCAGCTCTAAAAGTTTCCTTGCTATGAGCAGGATTTAAATCTAAAATCCACCAGTGTATTGTCTTCTAGCATCTTGTGACTTATTGTTAAGTATGGAGACTGACCTTCCTCTTTTGCACAGAGTGGAAATACGAGTAAAATAGTTGTCATCTTTGGAGGCTTCATAGAATCATTTAGGTTGGAAATGACCCATAAGATCATCAAGTCCAACTCTGAACTAGTTAATAAGATGAAATTAATATGTAGAAATAGTAGTTTGAGTTGGAAAGAGATTTTATGGTTTTTTTAATAACTGCTGGCTACCTCAGATAGCTCTCCTGATTCAGTAAAACATCAAGGGGTTTTTGTTGTGGTTTTTTTTTCTCATCAGTATTCATGTGGCAGAGAGTAAAGGATGAAAGTTCAGTAGCCTTATGTTGACCTAAAATGCTGTCTTTGCCTGTTATGATCAGAGGACCTGTTGACGGCAGTAAGGATGAGATGAATTAGCTTCTCTCCCAACCCCTTTTGGTTTTTGTCCCATATTAAACACACCAAAATAGCCCCATGTCATTTCCAAATAATTTTCCTAATTTTAGATGCTATCGAGCCAAAAGGAGTTGAAGGTTGGAGTAACTAGGTATGTTGAGACAGACGAGTGAAAGTAAGCCATTAATGAGAAGTCTTATAGTGGCAAACTGAGAAAATAATTCATTTGGTTATGCATGGCAGCTTACTGATCATTAAAAATATATTTCAGAGTTTTAGTTAGTGGATATTGATGAATTACTGATGAACACAGCATCCTCATCATGCAACTGCATATAGTAGAAGGTAGATTCCTTAATTCATGTGTACAGAACCTCTGTTTTGCTGGAGTGTGTCTCCTTAGCTGCCTGAAGTTATATAGAAGACATAAATGTTAAATTAAGAGTTTGCTTCTTTTCTGAGATATTTATTTCTAGAAGTAACTTGTTAGGAATGCTAACATAATACATCAATCTTTAGGATTCTTCATCAATACTTGATCCTTAAGATGCTATGTTGAAAACATTAAGGATTTGGGGTTTTGTTTTTTTCCTTTTAGGATTTTTGATAGCACAGGATGCTTCTGAACGAGCAGCTCTTCTTCACCCAGGAGTCCTCTCTGATGGGCAATTCTATTCCCCTCCTGAATCTGTAGCAGGTAGTTATGTTCACATAGTGAATGATTTTTCGTATTGGCATTAAACTCCTGCATATTTCACCCCCTTCAGAGGGTAAGGTGGGGGAAGGGAAAAAAAGTATTTTCCTTTTCAAATTAAGTGTACTTTACAATCCTAAAAGGAAAGATTATTTTCTGTTCAGTGATTCAGTTTAGTTAGTACCCGTCAGATGAATTACAATACACATAGTGGGGCTTCTGACATGTCCTGAAGGTGTGAAAAACAAGGTAAGTCTGAAAGAAAATGGTACTGCAGCTGATAGGAGGAGGTTATCGTTTGTTTCTGCCATCGATGATCCTTGTGGATCCCTTCCAACTTGAGATATTCTATGATTCTGTGATCTCTTATCTGCTAGCAAGTAGTGTTTATGCAACAATGCACCATTTAACCCAGCCTAAACTTGGAGCTTTACAGTATCTTAGGGTAGACAGCGAACCTATAACTGCTCTAAAGCAAACTGAAATTTCAATCAGAGGCTCTTTTCCTTTCTCATAACAAAAAGAAAAAGCCCTCTCTGTATAAACATGCTAGCTGTGTGCGTATATTAAACTGAGGGCAGGTGTTAATTACATCTTAACTCTGCATATCATCTGCTTTGTTCTAGTTGAGGTATGAGTCACATAAGCCAAAAAATAAGTGGAAATACTGAAAGATTTAAGAATGTGTTTGCAGGCATTTCAAGGAAATGAGTAATTTCTTTATGGGCTGAGTGGATTTGAGTTATTTGGGAATGCAGAGTGAACCCCCAAATCCTATGTCAGTCTTTCTACCCTAAAATGTAAATCTCTTCTGTAAAGCTGTGCTGTATTATGCAATATAGTTAAAAGATTAATGTCTGCTAATTGCTACAGATATGTTTGCCTATCTTGTATTATAGAGTTATACAGGTTGCTGATATTTTTCAGTTTAATGGCTGGGTCTATGGTTGCTGAGCATCTTGGCATAATGAATGACGTAGAGCTCCATGTAGGGATGACAAAGCATTAAGACAATGTTGAGTATAACGATGCAAAGTGAAAATGTATTTTAGTTAAAGCTGTGAGTCTATCTTGGCAATAGAATATACAGTGTGAGAGGAAGTGTAAGTGGAGCTAACATTTTCCCTGGCAGTTTGGCTGGGTCAATGTTACGTGTGCAGTGAGCTATTGTGCCTCAACGTGCGTGTGGTGACTACAGGTGTATGATTGTGCCATTGCTTGCAGCTCATCAAATGACTGTTTGTCACCTGAGTTTCAGTAACAGCTCATGTGCCTTCTCCTAGTCTGCCCTAACTGCCAAGTAAGTTTGTTTAAGCACCCTTTATGGGTATGAGAAGCAAAAGAAACAGTCAAATTAATATATTTGAACTAAAACACACAGACAGTGGTAGTCACAAAGTATTCTGAAACTGTTAGATGATGTACAGGAAAAATAACTCTCACTTAAAAATATTTTCTTAAAAATTCTGCATTTTTTTTTCAGATAAGGCAAGCCATGGATTGCTCTGAGAGCAATTTTTGGTCAATTTGCCTTTATGTAGTGATTGGAAAAATATTTAGATATGTACTATTTCTCATGGTCAGTCATGCAGAGGGTAATAAACCCTTTGCTGACATGGCAGCATGTCTAAAAACAAATCTTTGCTGTCAGGAGGTGACATTTAAAACAGGCTCTGTTGGAATTTTCAGCATATTCATCTTTTTATGTCTTCCTTGAGGATGCACGTGTCCAGGGCCGTACCCTTTTCCATCCACCACTTTGTATGGATTGACCCTAAATCTTCAACGTTACACTTGGTTGCCAAGTAATCATTCCTGAGGTAGCAAGTGGGAAATCAGCCTGGAAAGAGTACATTTCTACAGTTCTTGTACAATTTGAGCTTCAAAATGAAAGGCAGGTATTCTATTCCAAGAAACGAAAGGACTTCAGAGTAGTCTGGCCACAAAGAATGCTTAACACCTTTGTCTTTTTTTACTTCTTTGTGAGAGGGAATGTGGGTCCATAGTTCAGCTTTAAATTGATGGCAAAAGCCCAAGCAAGTCTCCCAGGCATTTTATCAAAGACATTTCTTTACTCACCTTCCCACATGTAGCCCTGTGACTGGTTAAGCGTTCTTTTTGGGGCCTTCCAGGGCTTTGTCACAGCAGAGAGCTGAGAGCAGGCAGGGGACAAGGAGGAGAGAACAGGGCAGGGAGAGGCAGAGAGGGCTATTTGGTTTCTGGTTTAGAGTGAGGCAATCTCTTGCCAGAACACTAGATTATGAAATTATGAATTTGTTAGATAGGATTTCTGGCTGCTTTGAAAGTGTCTTCTGAAGTTGTCTTCCAAAGGGCAGGATGCAGCAAGTAGGAAAATCTGCTTGTCAGTGAGCAAGTGTGGAGTTGATTGTCCTGAGTGTGTTGTAGTGAAAACTTGAAGAACTTGCTAACTGAATCCATTGACAGAGTAGGTATTTCAAGAATGATCCCAGTGCTGGGTTTTGGGTTTGATAACTGTTTAAAAAAAACCTTCAATGTGAAACACCAAAAAAGATAAGAAATTTAAAATAAAAAGAAAATATTTTTATGATAAATAGTTGCTTTAAATTGCCTTTTGATAAGCCATTAGCTTATCAAAGCAGTGGTGCTCTGCTCTTTTCTTTTTTCCTCTCTTTTCTTTTTTCCTCTCTTTTCTTTTTTCCTCTCTTTTCTTTTTTCCTCTCTTTTCTTTTTTCCTCTCTTTTCTTTTTTCCTCTCTTTTCTTTTTTTCTCTCTTTTCTTTTTTTTCTCTCTCCCCACTGATCTAACAGCATTCCTGTCTTCCTTTTCAGGATCTGATGAAGACTCTGAAGAAAAACAAGACAGTGAAAAACCAGTTGTATAGCAAATATGAAAAAGCAGGTAAATTCCTTTGCATAGAATCTGAATATTCCTAAAAATATTTTTTTCTTCTTAGTTCCTTCCCAAATAATTTGAACAGTGGAGTAAGTATTAGGAGTTCATCATCTTTGAACTCAGTCTGTCTGTCATAGCAACCTTCAAGCAGGAAATCCTGACAGGCTCTTGGGAGCCTGTAGTTGGGCTCCTCTGCTGCCGAGTTCTGGTTAACGCAGGCCTGGGGATCTGACAGCACTGTTCTGGAGTATAGTGTAAAAGGCTGCAGGCTCGGGGTGGAACACCTCCAGCGTTTATTTCTTGGCTGTTGTGGAAAGGACAATAGTGGTCCAGATGTGTAAAAGCTCCTTTTTTTGGAAGTGGGGAGAGATATTTCTCTGGAGATGGACATGCAGGAGTGCTAGGAAGAGAATTGCATTTAGTTGAGCTCTAGGACAAACATACTCATCTTGAAGATTGCATGGGCAAAACTACTTCAATATTTCCTCTCTCCTCAGTCTATTTAATACTGCAGATGGGTTACACTGGAACAGCTGTGTCCTAAGATTTTTTGTAGTGTACTTTGGTTAAATATGAGAGATTATTTCCTGATTTTGGAAATTACTTCCTTTACTTTTGGAATTACCTTGCCCCATGCTTTCACTTCACCACACATGGCAAAGTTCAAGCTAGGGGAGGTATTAAATGTTCTTGAGAAGCTGAAGCTTCCGATGTGAAATCTTCTACTGCTCGTCAGGAAGAGGAGATGACCTTTTCAGCCTCCCCGTTTTCAATATCTGTTGTCTTGACTTGCATCGTCATTCATCCTGACTTGTGTAATCTGTTGCAGAAAGAAAATCTCTGAGGGAAGTTGTTGAGGTTTGGAAACTGGCAACAGAGTCTGTGGCTGACTTGCTGGTGGAGCTGCTGAGGGGAGAATTTATTCATTAGGAAGCAAAGGGAATGGTTCCCATGTACTGTAATACCTCAAAAAGATGTACCTTGTTGACATATGTATATTAGGTTGCCTCCCAGGTGGTCTGAAAATATTTGTCTATGATGTATTATTATTCAGTGATTCCTGAAGTTGATCTTCTAATGACTAGGTAATTACTGGAAAGTGTTGTCTTGTGTACCTAATCAAGAGGCTGGTAATATAATGAAGTAAAACTTCTCTGTGGTGGAAGTATATTTAATGATTGTTGAGACTTGCTAGGTAAAATTATTTTATGTTATTGCAAATTTGTCACTAGTTTTATGTTTACTTTTTTTAACTCCATGCATTTTCTTTTTTAATGGATGTGTTCACTTTCTAAAATAAAAATGTTAAAACATGGATAATGCATTATGATATTTTGTTGCTTTATCAACTGAAAATGCACATGTATCAGTCCTTTATTTCTTGCAGGGTAATGAGGATTCCAGTTTGCATAGATTTTGTGCAAAATGTGGCTGCCTGTAGGGATGCAGTGTTAGTGGAACATCATTTCTTTGTTGCATATGTGATACCAAAAGGATGCAGGGAGCTTTTTGAAGTAACTTAGTTCCCACTCCTGTACTGGTGGTGGATGTTGTTTAGGTTCAAGGAGGAAACTGGAGTTAAGCGAGCCTTTGCAAACGCTGGTATTACCCCAGTAGCGAAAGGAAGGCAGTCAATCGTTCAATTCAGATGTGTATGTATAGGATATGTGTTTTCAGATACAGATATTACCTGTTAACCGACGCTTGATCAAAAAAGTTTTAGGTAACACCTAATTCCTACCTAAAGGGGAATGTAAGTGTTGTCACTTTCTTTATATAGCCACCTGGTTTTATTAGCAACCTGCACAGCAAATATTAAGTACCAACATATTCTTCACATGTTAACTCATGCATATGGACTATATTGCTCTGTAGTACTTCCATTGCTGTGGAACAGAAGCATAGCAGGTAGAAGACAGGCTGGGCTGTTGTCGAACTCTTCCACGGCTTTTCCTTGAACCAATAGTGACTCAGTTTGCAGGATTTTTCCACTAACAGCACAAATGGAAAGCCGGTCCTCAAAGCATTAAAACATGCATTGGCTCCCCCTTACTCAATCTCAACAAATTCATAAAATAACAGCAGGGGCTGGTAAGCCACTGCAGCTGTCAAACTCACAGCCATGAACTTGATGAGCCCTGGAAATTGCAGATACTTGTGTTCAACACTGTTTAGGACATTGTGGATACAGGATTTCTTTTCTCTTTTCAGCTTTGGGTATGAGCAAATGGGCTGGGAGATCATTTATTAAAAGTGGGATCAAGTCCTGAACATGATCAGTTGCTGAGTTGTCCTGTTGGAGTTGAGGCTACAGCACTGAACAGAGACCCATTCTGGGGGCAGTACAAGGAGAAAGGAGAGGAAGAGATGGAGGTGAAAGTGATGCTATTGAAGTCTGCAAGAGCTACATTTAAGCAGCTGTTTTGAGAATACCTTCACAGCTATTTCATTTCACTTTAACAGTAAAATCACCTGCCTTTTTGCTCCAAATAACAGTACTGTAAATAAGTGCATGACTAAAAGCTTAGGCAGTCTATCTTATGTCACGTTGACCATCAATATTCATCGAATGCACTAAGTGGTTACAGCGGCTTCAGTATGCTATTTCTAAAATTCTCTTATGTGACTGCTGGATGACAAAAATAAGCCAGGATCAAGTCTATCACTTATGTCACTTCAGAATATTCAAGATCTGTTCCAGAGGATGTAGGTAAGAATAAACCATTAGAAGAAAAAAAAAAAAATCAAAACCTGTCATTTAACAATGCTGTTCCTAACCAAATATTAAACTTGATGAGAAAAATGCATCTGGGATAGGAGGTCAAAAATTCCATTAAACCTGAACTTCATCTAGGTGTATGGCTTTATTTGAACACCTTCCTCAATCTGCAATATGGAATTCCTCTGGAAATGTAAGAAATGCAACCTGTTCTCAGTGTCTGCTTCCTCCTGCAGTTAATACTCCTCGTGGGATGGTACTCCAGCTCCTCAGGGCCAGTTCCTCTGGCAGTAGTGTCCTGCAAGCAGGGGCCAGTTGGGCATACAGGGTAGGAAAAATACAGCAGCAGGCTCGCATTACAACAAAGCTGGGGTGAAGCAGCTGTGTTGCCCAGCTTGGGAGAGCTCCTGCTTCTGTCTTGAGGAGAAACATGGACTTTCCTTTTGAGGACTGAGAATTGCATTTGAAGAATAATCACTGCTCGTTTTGGTGTCACCTAGAGAGGTCCCCTGGCAGCAGGTGGGTGATTTTTGCAAATGAAGTAGCGCAACTGAATCCTGCTATGTTTTAACAATTGGAAGGAAGGAGCTTGAGACAAATATCCTTGTATCTGACTTACGGAGATTCAGGGACAGTATTACAGTGGCTGTCATGATAAGAGTTCTCAAAGTTGATTTGGTTTTGGTGATGCAAGTTGTGCTCGGAGAAACAGCAAAATAATAGCAGAATGTAGAGTTGAGCGTGTTGAGCATTTAATGTATGTAGTAATGTATGTCAGGCCTGGAGAACTGTTTTCATGTATGTCTTCAGTTTTCCTGCGAATCATGAGTAATCGAGATGAGCTGAGCAGTTCAACAAGCAGGCAAGAAAGCAGGTCACCCTGTGGTTTTCTAGTTTTGAAAAGCTGAATATATGAACTGTTGTAAACACACCAAATGTGGCTGCAGGCTGTTTGTAATTTGTTGGGTTTTCTTTTTATTGGGCTTGAAAATGAGATTTGAAGTGAGTCTTTTTTCAAGAAGCAGGTTTCAGTGAAGAATCTAAAAGGAAAAAAAAACCTCCAAATCCCCAAACCCCAGCAACTTGTTGATGAAATTGATGCCATTAGCTGGTTGTCATGTTGTAATCTGTGACAGGCTTAGGCGTGTTTTGATTGATGATTTATTGCAACTGTAACTTAAATACATTTTGCAAGAACATTTTTTTCCCCATGAAGAAGAGACAGTTAATCTGTATTGGGTTGCTTAAAGCTCCAAACTATACAAAATGAAAAAAAAAAAAAAAAATTCTGATTTTGTGCCAGCAACTTTGTACTATAATCAGGTTTCCATTACCAAAAAGAGGAAAAAAATGAACACAACTTAAAGTACACTTATGATTTTCTGTGTTGTTTGCTTTGTGTGGGATCAGGAACCTGCAGAAAGGTGTGATCAGGAGCTGGTATTTTGGCATGAGCATGTGCACCACTGATCTGCTGCCACACAACATATTTAAGCGCATATCTATAGACACTTCTCACATGTACATGTGTCAGAGTCCAATATTCTCTAAACAGGTTCTTTCAGATGTTCCACAGTGGCAGCTTTTGATGTTTAATACCATATTTACTTATTTGATATATTAGGCATTACGGGCTATTTGGATTTAGAAGAGGGATACAGCAGTATGCCAAAATCACAAGACAAGCATGCTATAGCAAGGGTAATATACAGTGAAATCACAGTACAAATGTGATTCCCGTTACCAGTCCCTATATGTTCGACGAACATGGTGCCCCACGTCACCAGGAAGTAAGTAATACGTGGCTTGAGGCCAGGTCAAGCCCATTGCAGATGATTTCCTGTTGCAAACTGCTGCCCTTCAGGAGTATCTCTCAAAGAAAGGCAGGTTTTGGGACCTTTGCAATCCAGAGTGTTAATGCTTCTGCTTGTACCAGACCTGACTTAAAATGGAACAGTATCAGTATCTTTACAGCGCAGAACTGAAGCTTGTGGGGTTTTTTTTTTTTGTTTGGATGCTAGGTGCCTCTTAAACTTAGAAGAATGCTTTCCCTGTTGAGGAACAGCCTTGTACGTAGCAGGTCTCCCTAGGCCTACTCATTAAATTGGAGACAAGTATAGTTCAGTGATCATAGATTATTTTGTCTGTTTGTTCAGAAGAAACACTCAGGGCCTTGATCAGTTGTTCTTACAGTGCATATTCTGAAGACAAAGAATGTTCTGGGGGTTTTGAGAGCATTCACATGTACAAAAACCCTGTTAAAACCTCATTTGGCAGAGGGTGGAGAGCACATCTGCTTCTAGTTCACTTCCTCTAAAGCACCCCATTGAAGCACCCAGAGCCTCCTTGTGACAACTCAAGTTTGCAATGGTCTTGGGGAATGCCAGAGGTCAAATTAAAGCTCAAGTATTTTTTCCTGCCCAAGCAAAGCTAATAGCTTCCTCTCACCGTGGAACCTGGAGTCAGGTTGTCAGCTGCAACTCTTCTTTGAAAGGAGTTTCCATTTTCTGACTCCTTGATTAAACGGGAAGGGATTTGCCTTATTTCAGCAGAGAGTCTGATATATTACAAGACTAGCTTCTGCATTAAGAGATGATTTTAAGTGCTTTGCCTGGACATTCACAGTGCAGGTACTGTCACACAACAGTCCTTAAAAGGAGGTAGGTAATCTAGATTGCTTTCAAGAAGCAATCTAAGTTAAGGCACTCGCATAGACAATTAAGTTCTCTCTCCTTTCACAATTACTTAACCCAACTAATTTTCTATTAGCGTATTGCTTAATAGTGAAACTTGAAGAGTAAGTGGAAGTTTTGTTTTAGGAACTTACTTAGGTTTAGATGTAGCTAAAATGATTCTTTTTATTCTTTGATCAACAGAAGGAAAATAGAACATTTGCTATCATGTCAGTATGATACTAAATCCCCTCTTTCTCTCCTCCATCAAGATTCCAGCTCTATCCTAAGAAAAACAAGAATGAAGCATAAATGTTTTTAGATATGCACCAGTCTGTAAGAACTATTTGCTCAACATCTCTCAAAAACTTTGTACAGGTCAGGCAGGTTAGCAAGCTGCAAAATGTTGCCGTCTTCTGTGAAGTGTTTCGGAGGTAAAAGATAAGTCCTAAAAGCTTTGTAAAGTACATGTTCCACAGTCCATTTCCATGTTGTTGAACCAGAGTCAGAATCTTCATTCTGAAATACAGGAAAAAAAAAAATAAGGACAAACAGTTAAACTGAAATTCTCTTTTACTAGAGAAGAAGAAACTCATTAAGAAACTTTATTATGTAAGACAATTTACAGCAATTGTAAAATTCTGCTTGTTAGAGAAGTTCATTCTATACAGTCAAGTTAATTTAAGCTCTGGAAAGTCACTTGCAGAAGGGGATAACTGAGCTGACTGATTAAGCAGATAGATACTTAGTAACAAGCAGATTATATTTTTAATTTATATGCATCCTTATTCTTCTATAGAAATTTACCATAGCTCAGCAGGTTAAAAAAATGGAACAGTACTTGGCCTCTGAGTTGGGATATAATATATGAACAAGTAAACTGCAATACTCAAAGTTAATACTCAAAGTTAAAAGGTTCTCTTA